GGTCACTGCATTTGATCCCCAGCACCCAAGCCAAAATAAATAAATAGAAAAGATTAATTCAGGTTGGGTCCTTTGAGGCTGAAGATCAGGCTGCAGCCAGAGGAAGTGAGTATGGCATTCCAGAGGCCCTGGGAGAGGCCTGGACTGGCCTCAAGGGTCTTGTGACTCATTGCCTAATAACTGAGACCGCTAAGAGATCACTTTTGCTGGAACTCCCGCAGAGAGGCCCAGGTGTCACGGCAACTTAGACGGCCTACAGCCAGGTGGACCCACTTGAGAGGTGGGAAAACTGAGGCCCACCAAGCTGACATTCATCCAGCAAGTGGAGGAGCGAGACCTCGACCCCAGCCCAGCACCTCAGATACAACGGTGGGCGCCTTCACAGGAACGGCGGTGACTTCCTCCCGAGACGACGCCAGGCCTCTGCCAGAAACCAGGACCCTGATTCTGGGCTGGGGGTGCAGCTCGGTGGTCAGCGCTTGCCCAGCGTGTTCAAGGCTCCATCCCCACACGGTGAGTTAAGTCAACCCACGCAAGGACCCTGCCTCCGACGGCTGAGCTGGGCTGGTGAGGTGGCTCACTCCTATAATCCCACCTATGCACGAGGCAGAGATGGGGGGAGCTGGGGGTGAGGGCCTGCCTAGCAAGCACAAGGCCCTGAGTTCAAACCCCAGTACAGGAGGGAAGCTGAGCTGGGATGCCTCCCACCGTAAACTGAAATCTGGACAGAAGGCTACGACCCCAGACTGCAGGGGAACCCAGAGCACCCCAAAACAATGTCTCAAGATATTCCTCCCCCGACCCCAAGGCCAGTCCCCAGCCTTCTCTCAGGTCTCTGCCTTCTCTCTTTGCCACGACCGTCCACCGTGCTGTCTTCCAGTCTCTGGCCGACAGCCAGTTTCAGGTTTTTTTTGTAACGCTTATCTTGGAATCATTTCAAATGCAGAGAAAAGTCTGAAATAGTACAAGGAGCTGCTATGCTCTGACCTTCCCCGGGTCCAGCAGTTCCAAACTACTGTCTACTCAGTGTCACTTGACCTTATTCTGATGCGTGGCTGTCTCTCACATGTGCACATGTGTGACTAGACCATTTAATACTCTTTTTCCCTCTTTCTGAGTCACTCCCAAGACATGGACGTGGTACCCCTTGTTTCTAAGTGCTCAAGGGTGGCCAGGTGCAGCGGCTCACACCTGTAATCCCTGCTACTCAGGAGGCAGAGCTCTGGAGGATCCAAGTTCCGAGGTCAGCCAGCACAGGCAACTGGTGGTGTAAACCTGTATTCCCAGTTACACGGAAGTTGAAAGTAGGAGGACTTGGGTTCAAGGCCAGCCCCGGGGGCAAAAATTTGAAACCCTATCAGAAAAATAACAGGACTGGAGAGTGGTTTCAGGGGTAGAGCGCCTGCCTAAAATCGCAAAGCCCTGAGTTCAAGCCCCACTGCTGCCAGGGAATTAAAAAAAAAAAAAACTCTTACATAACCAGGGCAGTAATTCACGGGGGACAGGGACGTGGTTCTGACCTGACGCTATCAGCTAATCTGCAGTCCATATTCTGGTTTGTCAATTGCCTACCTGATGGTACTCTAGCTGGGTGTTACTTGGCCTTTGGCTATTACATTTTTTTTTACTTTCGTTTGATTACAGGCAGTTCTAACCTCTCCTTTGCCTTGCATACCACGGACTTTTTTTCTCTGTCTTGAAGAATCCAGGCCAGTTCTGCGAAATGTCTCTCCTCATTCCTCACCGTGTAAAATTCCAAGCCCTCGTTTACTGGCCTTCAGGGGACGGCAGGATCCACCGGCCGCCTCTTCCCTGGCGCCCTCCCTGACGCGCCTGGCTGATCTGCAGCTCGCAGGCTCTCACCCTCCCCACCGCTGTCCCGTGTCGTCGTCACCTTGGCGGCCCTTTTCTGCTCTCCACACGCACAATAGGGACCACTCCATGTGCCCCTCGGGGTCAAGCCCTTTGACCTTACCCCTCACTCTTGGGCCAGTCCAGACCCCTCACGGCCTGTGTGCCCGCTTAGGTTTTTTTTCCTTTCCGTGACTTGTGTGTTTACGGCCTCCTTCCCGTGCTAGAATGTGAGCTCCAACAAGGCCAGAGATTTCTGTCTGTCTGTCTGACCGGCTGGCTACACTTCCAGGCCCGGGAGCGGTGCCTGGCTCACAGGAAACACTTGGAAATTATTTGCTAAGCAAATGAACAAGAGAAGAAAGAAGAAAGGATTGCAAAAAAGAGAAAAAAGTAGGGGGAGGCAGCCAACATGGAGAGCCAGGGAGAACTAGGCCAGATTCCAGAACCTTCCATGGTTGTCTCTGACCAAAGAAGGAAGGGTTCTGGAAATTGTCCTTATCTCCAAAATCCCAGTCCTAACTGATCAATCTCTCTAAATCAGCCGCAGTAGGCTGACAGGCTGGATTCCAGAGATGAACAACATGGGCCTTGTAGACACTCCCCGGTCCCCTACTGTCCACTGGCCGGGCCCAAGTGTAGGGTGCCTCCCTGTCCTGGTCGTGGTCCCCACTCCCATTCAGTGCAGGGTGTGGGAACAAGGACAAAACCCTGCTAATAACAGGCTGTGAGGGAATATTTATAACTGACTGCAGCAATATTCAAAGTTGTAGGACCCAAACCCAATTAGCCAGACACACAGCACAGCAACGGTCCCCTTCATCCGACCCTCACAGCAGCTATCCGGTCCGAGCTCTCAAGGGGAGTTCCCTGGGCCCAGGAGGGACAATGAGTGACCTGTAGACACGGCCAGGTCTCCACCAAACTCTCCACGGGAACCAGTCCAAAGGTAACACCACAGTGCTGTGTGACCCTGGCAAATCGCTCAGCCTCTCTGGGCTTTTCTGTCCAAAAGTAAACAAAGATGGGGCTGAGAAAGCTGGCAAGACCTAAGGAGCTGACAGCCAAAGACAGAAGAGCGTGGTGCCTGGGGGAAGCAGAAATTTAGCACCTGCACCCCACAAAGAAAATGGGGTGGGAGAGGACTGGGTTGAGGAATTTCTAATCAGCCCAGCCTGAACAATTCCTCCTTCACATTGTATTTAATGAGATTAGTGGGGGTTTGGCTCTGGGCGTTGGCCTAGGGTCCAGGAGTGAAGGATTGCAGGCCCCACAATTCTCTCTTGTCCCTCTCAGGTGAGCAAGACATCAGAGGGTGGCAGTGGCCTTCCTGCCATTTCTTCTACGACCTCTGCTGCAGAACAGTCAGGGAAGCTGGACACAGGACTCCAAGGCCACCTCCAGCTGGACTTCCTAAGCTGGCCTTCCCATCCACCAAATGGGTGTTAGGTGGTCAGGTTCAACTCAGGCCTGGTGCTTTGTGCACACAGAGGCCACCGGAGGGAAGTGGCTATCTAGCAGCTCCATGAAGACACTGCCAGGCTGGGGACAGGGCACAGGGAAAGCAAAGCCCAGGCAGCCAAGGACACAGGAGCTCATGTCACCACCCTAGGCCACACTAACTAACCCGCTCTGAGAGCCCCCAAAGCCATGCAAACGCACCCCCATCACTGTGGCCACCCAGGGTGTGCACAAGGGGGTGGCCCAGACAGGGCCCTAGTACTCCGGGGCCATCCCCAGTCCTGCCTGGAGGGCGGGGTTCTTAGGTTCCCCCACCACCTCGACCACAAAGTGCCACTCAGGAGAAAATCTCTGTCCCTGAAGGAGGAAGGCGACCCCCCCCCAGGTTCCAAGGGGCGCAGGCGCGCGCGCGCCCAGGGCGGCGACCCGGTCCTTGCGCCCCCGCCGGCGGGGATCTCCGCTCGCCCCTCCCCCGCCCGGTGCCTCACAAAGGCCCTTTGTCCCGCCGAGTCCCCAGACTCCGGTTCCTGAAAGTTCCAGCAGGAAAAAAAAAAAAAAATCAAAAGAGAGAGACAAAATCAGCGAGCGCGGCCTGGAGGGTTGGGGGGTGACTTCTCCAAGACTCCAAGGACCAGGGGAGCATGGTGGGGGCACCCCGGGGAACTGCAAAAGTCCTAAACTTACGGTTGCAAAAATAATTAAAAAGGTCGATTTTTTTTCCCCCTTCTCCTTTAAGGCCAGATGCAGAAGCAAGCAACAGCCAGGAGAGGAGGAGGAGAAGGAGGAGGAGAAGGGACAGGGCTCCCGAAGCCACCACCGCCACCCACAAAGGTCCCTCCGCTCCCGGCGGCCACCGCTCGGCTGGACCCGGCCAGCTGCTCCCTTCCCCGCGCTGCGCCCTCCCGGTGTCGTCCACGCAGCCCTCTAGAGAAATGGCGAATGCCACCAGGCCTTCTCCAGAAAGCCACCTCCTCTCTCATGGTTGGATCTCGGGTGTCCCCTCCGCTGGGACCCCGCCGGGCCGATCCGCTCCACGCGCCTCCTGCTTTCCCTACATTGGGGATGGCGGCGACCCCGCCGCGCCGTGCGCCCTCGTTCCGCCAGAGCCAAAGTCCCCTGGGCCGGGATCACCGCCCTCCTATTGGGAAAAGGAAAGCTCCCCAAGGTCCTAGAAGTGGGGGGTGACGAGGGTCACCATAATCCCGCATTTCCCCAGGGCTGGAGAAAGGCCTGCGAGAGTGACGAATCTGGGAACGGAACCCGAGGCCCATCAGACGCAGAGAAAGGCATTTTGGCCAAGAAAAAGATCCGAGCTCCGGGGAGTTTGGAGGCTCCCGGGGACGGGGTGTGGGGGGGACGCTGGTATGTTCTTTCCTCGCTCAGATTTGCAAACTTCAGTTGTCCAGGATGGGGACCGTCCCGGGTGGCTCTCATTTGCCAACATTAGAGCCTTGGGACGATCGGGAAGGTCCGGGCACCTGGGAGCGAAGCCGAGCACCTCTTCTCTCCAGTGGGACCTCGGGAATGGCCCCTATCCTGGACCCCAAGGGTTTGTTTCCTTGCCTTGGGAGCCCGCAACCCCCACCCCCCACCCCACCCTTCGACACAGACCCCGGTGGACGGCCGTCCAGTCCTGGCCACTTCCCGGTGTCCCTCCCCAAGATCGCGACGCGGCGCGGGACACTTACCCGGGTGCGGGTGGAGGTTGAGGCCGGCCATGTATTTCCCGGGTGGCAGCGGGCCGGGCAAACGTCCGGCAGTGGCCGCACCCACGCGGTGGCTGTCCATGGCCAAGCCGGACAACAGCTGTGGCGGCCAAGCCGGACGTGCACGGACCGGCCTCGACGTAGTCCCAGAGTCCTCGGGTGGCGGGGGCTCCGCGGCGGGCATGGCGGCGGCCAGCGGGGCTTGCGCTCGGCGTAGGGCCCGCGGCCCGGGGCGCAGGGACAACCGGTGGTGGGGCCCCTCCGGGTGGCCCGGTGGAGCTGGCGCACACGGTGGTCTTGACGGGGGAAGGAGACGAGCCACGGAAAACACAGAGAAGGAAAAAAAAAAAAAGGAAATAATAAAATAACAAATAAACAAGTTTCCCAAAGTCGCTTTCCCCTTTGGGGTCAGGGAGCGCAGATCTGGCAGCCACGAATGAAATCGGGAGTAGCCCCTTTTCGAGAAAAGTCAAAATTCATGTTTCTTCCTCTAATGGCTTCAAGCTCCCAGGGACCCGGGTTCGGGAAAGTGACAGGTGCGCGCCGTGCGCCCCAAGCCGGGACTGTGCCTCGGCGGCCACCGGGCGGATCCTCCCGAAGCTGGAGAAGGATCCATTGGCCGGCCGCGCCCGGACAGCTTAATACAAACCTTCTTAGTGTTTTCTTCCCAGGGGATCACATGCTCCAGGGTTCAAACCTGTGAAATCTTGCCATGAGCTGCTGGAAAGGTGTCCCTAAACACCAGGTCACTATCAGATCTGCAAAGTTTAATATTTAACCTTTTTGGGCCCTCGCCTCCCTTTCCTGAGTTCGACTTGCCTGAGCTCGCCCTGCTAGCCACCGAAGAAGTGTTTTGGTTTGGTTTTTTGCTGCTGGATGTTGTTGTTCGGGGTGGGAGGGAGTGAAAAGGGTTTATTTTATTTATTTGTTTGTTTTAAAGAAGCTAGCCCCAATCGGGTCACTGTGAGTTTGCAGTCTTGAGCTCCAGGACCCAGAGACGTGGCATTGTCGCCCGAGAACTGGAAAGAAACCTTCAAAACAAGGTTTGCTTTCGTTTTCTAACAGCCGGGCCTGGGAATCCTGGGGCCCGGAGGACATAGCCTGACGCTGAGGATTTGGGGGGGTCCGGAGGGAAGTAAGCGGGAATCAAGTTATCTTTCTTCTACCCTAGCTTCTCCATATATACACCCCCCAAAATGACCTACAAAAGGAACCGCAGCGCTGGCCGGCCGATGGGGCGCCTCCCCAGCCGTTGGGTAAATCCTCCTGTAGTTCCAATCTGAAGCTGTCGCTGGCTGATTCCCGTGGGACAGACAGGACAGGGGTCTTGAAACCCACCCTTCTCTCACTGTCCGCGCCCACCTGCCCGCCCGCTCCGCAGAAGCTCAGATTCCTGACCCCGGGAGGCCCGGGCACCCTTGGAACCACCGATCACACCAAAGCCACCCTGCTCCAGGGTGCTCGCCCTGCGCCCCAACTCCGCGCCCAGCACCCGAGCTTCACACCCACCCGGGCCTCCCTTCTCCAGCCTCCGACCCCCCCAACTTTGCGAAGGGCGCCTATTTTAACATGGTTTGGGTTACAAACACCCACTCTTCTTCCCTCCCTTTCCAGCTCGCTCGCATCAGGTTCTGGTTACCAGATCCGCGTTTACTTTGGAAAAAATCTAAGACGTCCACATCCGAGGATACAGACCTCAAGGCGGCGAGGAGCTTCCCGTGATTTAAAAAAAAAGAAAACAATATTCTTAGGGCGCCTTTCTTTTAAAAGCCAGCGCCTAAAGTATGCCCGGGCGCCCCCACTTTAGGGAAGTCGGGATGAAGCCCCCACACCCCCTTTGGAACACCCTGGCAATGGCAGAGAAGCTGGCGTGGCCATCTGCGGGATCCGCTGCGTTCTTTCTACTTTTCTCCCCCTTCTTAAATGCAGTTAAAATGGCTGAATTCCGGCTTTTAATTAAAAACAGCCTATAATCGAAACGTCTCGGCGTCCCTGGCTTTCCCAGCCGCCTGCCGGGAACCGAACGGGGAACCGACGCCCCTCTGCCAATGTCCTCCGCCTCCCGCAAGCTGGGACAGGCTGGGGGCTACGATGGGGCGCCCGGGGCGCAAACGGCGCGCCCCCAACCCTTCCCCGGGGCGCTCGGTCCCTGCGATCTCTAAGCCTCCCCGATCCCGTGCTGGGGAGCTGGGGAGCTTTGGGGGCCTCCCCACCCCGTGCACCCGAGGGCCAGGCGGGGTGGGGTTGGGGGAGGCGATCTGCAGAACTTTGGAGACCATCGCGCCCCGCAGGGCCGGCAGGCGTACCTGGCGCGACGGGGCTCCCAGCTCCGGGCTCCGGCAACAGCGACTCCTCCGGTGGTGGCCCCGGCTCCCGGCGCAGCTATGCGCCCTTGCCGCCCGCCATCCCGTGGCCACCTCACACTTTTTGACCGCCTTTCCTTTTTTTGGTAGAAAACCGCTCCCCGGGCCGAGCGCTCGGCGCGCCAACTCCTCCGCCCTCCCGCGGCCCGGCTCCCGCAGCCCCCGGAAAAGCCAGCTTTCCTCGCGCCGAGCTCCCAGCTTTTTAATAAAATCCAGGTAGCGCCGGTTTAAAGAATCCCAAATCTCCATATACAGCCCGGGATTGGAAAAGGTACGTTACACAACCCCCCTTTCAAGTTCCTCTCGCTGGATCTAAAAAAAAAAAAAAAAAAAAAAAAAAACAGCGGGGGGGGGGGGGCTGGGGGAGGGGAGCCCTACCAGGCTAAGAAACACGCATTGTTCCCCAGCGCCCGCCCCCCCTTGGGTCGGCCCCCGTCCGCTGCGGATTGGCCCAGAGCGCTGCCCATCACGCACATGTAAACACCTTGGCCCTCAGCCATTCCTATAAAACCAATTACGGACCTCGGGGCTCCAGCAGTTTCCAGGCTCCCCTCGGCGGGGCTGAATGATCAAAACTGGTGGTGAGAATTTTTCCGAGCCGTTTCTAGGCAGCCCTCCCCCTCCACCAGCTCTGCCCCCCCTTCCTCCTTCTCCTCCCTTTTCCTCCCCCCACCCCTTCCTCCAGCGTCTGGGCTCAGTGATCAAAATAGAGGAAGATGGTTGTCGCCGCAATCCAGGGCTTTGCAAGGCGCGGTTTAATGGGCCGCCTGTCAGCTTCCTGCTAGCAGGAGGAGGTGACAAGCCAAGAGAGCCGGGAAGGGCCTGGAGCCCGGCGGGCTGCACCCTGCGCCCCGAGACGGGGCCCCCCACCTCCCCTGGGGTGCGCCTCTAGAATGCGCGGTGGACAAGGGCTGCTTTTTCCTTTTTCTTTCTTTTTTTTTTTTTTCCTTCCTTTTAAAACAAAGCAGCAATTCATCCCCCTTTCCCCCAGCAGCGCGGTTGGGTGGGATGGGCAGGCGAGAAGCCCGTTTCCCTTGCCCCAGCCTGCGGGTCCCTCCCCTGAAATGCGGTGTCAGATGGTTACTCGTTGATATTTTGGAGAGGCCGCGGCGGCGGGCAGCGGTGAGTCTATAATCTTCTAAAAGGGGTTCCTATAGAAACGCGGCCGGGGCGCGCCCCCAGCTCCGCCCCAGCCTGGGCTGCAGCGCCTGCGCCGTGCGCCCCTCCCCAAAGGCCCCTCTTGGCGTGGGCGTCCCCTTTCTCTTCCTTCCACCCCCCCCAAAAAAAAAATCAGAGCAGAAAAAAGGATTAGATCGGCTGAGTGCAAGCTGAATCCTTCTCGATTCTGACATTTCAGCCTATTAGCATTTCTCCACGGGGCCTTCTGAAACCTATTAAAGTGTAATATTAAAAACCTCTTGGCTGGGGGCCTCTCTCGCCTTCCATCCGCCGCGCCCCCTCCAGGGAGGGCGAGACCGGGAAAAAAAAAAAAAATCTGTTGAGCTCAGAGGAAGCAGCAGCCAAGCCCAAAAGTGCTTGGCTGGCCATGGCAGCCTGAGGGGGAGGGGAGCTCCAATCCCCCAGACTTTGTACTTTTATTTTGCGCTTTCAGCAAAATCCTTTCTGGGTTGAGTCTCTGCGAGCTGCCCGCTGCAGATCTTACCAGGCTGGGGGCGCAGGAAGCGCGCGGACCCTGCGAGAGGGAGAAGTCCTAGGGACCCCGCACCCCATCCGCAGCCCGCAGGCACCCGAGCCCGGCTAGGCTTACCTACCCTCGAAAGGACGCTTGGAAGTATACAAATCCTTGGCGATCCTGCTTGGAGAACAACCGTGGTGATAAGGTTTTAATTAAAACAGAAGCCCGCTCTTTTCACCCCGCTCTGCGGACTCAGCGTTTTGCACTGCTCCTATCTTTTTTTTTTTTTTTAAGAAAATCCATTTTTAAGGGAACTTTACTGGAGGAGAGGAGGGATGAGCTTAGTTAGCGCGCCCATCGTCTATTTTTCTCACACTTTTAGAAATAAAAGGGAGGGTTCGGGAACGAACTGGGGGTGTCTAATTTAATTCCAGGATAAATAAAAAAAAAAAAATTTCGGGCTCTGGAGAGCAGTTTCAAGTTGCCCTTCTGTAGCTCCTGCGCTGGTTTCTAGGCCCTCTTTTGGAAGCTGGAGCTCCGCAGGGGAGAGGAGGAGAAGTGAGAAGGGGAGAAAAGGAACGAAAATAGCCGGAGCCGAAGGGAACTAGCGGTGGTGGCGCTTGGAGCTGGGCGCACGGGTCTCAGTGGCAACCTGGGCGGCGGGAGGCGCCCGGTGCAGCCCCGGGACAACAAGGAGCAAAGACCGAGAGAGGGGGGTGTTAGAGAAAGGAGGTATTGTGTCTGTGTGCCTTAGGGGAAAGGGGGCGGGGTGACTGCAGTTGGATCTGCGCGAGGCTGGCTGGAAGCCAGGGCAGGAGAAGGGGCTGGGGAGGGGGCACCGAGCGCCCTTGAGTCTCATCCAGAGGCCTTTGTGGGTTCCAAGTAAACCCTCCCACGCCGGAGTCCATCGCTTCCCCACCCCTTCTCTCTCCAATATTCGGAGCACAGGCCCTGATTCTCCACCCCTTATCCCGCCGGGATCTGGAATGTTTTTCTTATTTTAATATAGCTCAAGAAAAAATATGTATCTTGAGAGAGTTGCAGAATAACGCAAAGGCTTGCGGGGTGGAAAAAAAAAAACAACAAAGGCCTTATTTTTATAAATGTTTAATGTTTTCACCCTGGATGCTCCCAGACGCCGTAATTGTGACGGCGGGGTATGTGTGCCATAAATCATTTAGTTGCTAATAAAAATTCTGCCTATTTGCCCTGGATTTGCCAATGGCGTTTGCATTTTTCAAATGTGCGCCCTGTCGGCGTGGTGAACCAAGCCGGCATTTCATTAGGGCAGCGGTCCGGGTGTAGACGTGGCTCTGCCTCCCCGATGGAATTTGGGCGCCTGGGCCCCTCTCGTCCCCCCTGCCACCGCACCCGCTCGAGCCGCCAAGCGGCCCTGCAGACACCCAGTGCGGGGCCTGGGGACGCGGCAGGGCGCACAGGACAGATCCTGCCCGCGCTGCTTCTCCGGGTTGCTTTCATGCGTGGGGCGCGGACCGATCATCAAGGGGCGGCTGGGTGCGCGTCCTGGTCTTTGACCCCTCTCCAGCCCCGCACCCTGGCGTCCCACAATCGCTGGGTAAACAGCGGCCCAGGAGCCATCTTGGGGCGTGGGATGCATCCCAAGAGGAGCGGAGGTTGCTGCCCTGCCCCTTGGGGACCCTCTATTTCACGATCACACACGGGGGGTGGGCCTCTGGACAGCCTAGCCTGGCCTCAGGGTCCTGGGGAGATGCCCTTTCTCCATGGTGGACCACACTTAAAAAGATCAGGCGCGCGAGCCTGGCGCTGGAGTGGCAACCGCACAGGCCACACGTCCAGCCGCCATCTTCCGCGCCTACCCCCACCCCTCGTGCTTGTTTACTCGGCGGGATCGGTGGCCAAAAACTGTGTTGACGCAGTGGGTGTGTGTGTGTGTGTGTGTTTTGTACTGACTGGGCGGAAAATCGGCCGGGGGGTGGAGGAACCTCCACGCAGCCCCAAACCGCAGTTCCCGGAGAAGCCACACAGCCAGGCCGGCCTCCTCCTGGCCCAGTTGTCCATGGCCACCCGGAGCCGCCCTGCGGAGGCCTTTAGTCTACTCCAAGGCTGCCGGCTCCGTCCTCGGCACCCAGGACACGTCCCGACTGCCAAACTGTGCCTGTTTGTTGTAAAGTCAAAGGACGGACCAACCTTGAGCCCCGCGGCCTCCCCAGCCGCGCCTTTGTCGGCTCGGGTGAACCACGGGCAGGGCCGGCTTGGGGGAGCCCGCGCCTCCTTCACTTCTGCCCAAGTACAAGGTTGAACCCTGTTCCCCCAGAGCCCTGGTGTCGCTGACCGCATGGACACAGTTTCTCCCGTGCTCCTCCCCCGGAAAAAAAAAAAAAAAGTATCCCTTCCTTGGAAAGCAAGGAAGCCACCCCCTTGAGCTGTCGCCCTTGAGCCGCCTGTCCCGGGGGGTGGGGTAGGCAAGAATCGAAGCCTCGGGACTCTCTGCCAGCGTCTTGGTGAAGGAGACCCAAAGGATCGCCGGCATCTCCGGTCCGATCGGAAGGCCGCGGCCGGGTCACCTAAGCGCGGGTTTCCGCAGGTCCTAGATCCGGCATCCCCAGGAGCTCCCGGCCCGGACGCCACTAAAACCGGAGAGGCAACACCGGGACAACCATGCTCGACATCTCTCACTACCACTGATCCGGCGGCTGTTCGGCGCCCAGCCGAGGTTCAGCCAGCCCTGCCGAGAGCCTCCCGGACCGGCCAGGAAGACCAAGGACGCGACGCTCGCGCCTCGCACGCCGCGACGACCCGGGCGCACGGCGGGCAGAGCCGGGGCCGCTGTGCCAGGCCGGGCCGCCGCGGATTCCAGCTCCTCCCGGCCCCGCCTCCGACCCTGGCCTCTTCCTCCGGCCCGGGTCGCGTCTTCCATTCCACTGTTTGGCTCTGAGAGGATGAAGATGCGCTTGGGGCCCGCTGCGGTCATAAATCTCCGCGTCTGTCCTCATTCCTGTTTGCTCACGCGCTGGTGTCCCCGGCCACGCCAAGTGCCATGCTCTCCTGATCACGGCCTGGGGGACCCGAGACCGCTCAGGGAATCAAGCCAAGAATTTCCCCGTTCGCCAAAAGAGAGGGGACGGCCTCGCCACTGAATGCCAACCACCATCCATCCTGCGAATGCCGGACCCCGAGGTGGCCTGGGCCTCGCCGATCTCCGCTTGGGATAGAGGCGCCGAGCCGGGCACTTCCTTCTAGGAAGGCTTGGTGAGGCTGGTATGGGTGCTCGGTTACTCGCACATCGAGGGAGCTTTCAGAACTCAGCGGCCACCCACCTCCGCGGACCCTACCCTAATCCCTGGAGCGCTTTTCGGGCGCACGTAGGACTCTTTTTTTTTTTTTTTTTTTTAGGGGTGGGGGGGTGGTCAAGAACCGAGCTGGATCACTGCAGGCTCGGTACCCGCAGAAGAGGGGGCTCATCGGATCCCCACCCGCGACCCACCTCCCCCTTCTTGCCCAGGACAGACACCTCCCAAAGTTTGCGCAGCGGGGTCGGAGCTCCCATGCCCTGGTCCGCCGCCCGCCTAGGTGCAAATACCCGACCTTCGGACAGGCAGGAAAAGATGGGGCGCGATCTGGTGGCACGATTTTGCCCAAATAGTGGAGGACAGCCCCCAAAGAGGGGGAGCATTGTTAAACGTTCAGTGCCAGAGTTTTTTTGTTTATTTATTTATTTTTTTATCTTTTCCAGAGGGGGAGAGGGACAAACAGGCCTTCGCACTGGTGTCCCACATCAGCCAAGCAAGCCGTGCGCGCTGGTGCCACCCACCACTGAAAGGCCTTCGTAGGGGGCTTTAGAGGGGACCGTCGCCAAGGGCGGGGAGGGGGGCGCATTCACTCCCTCGTGCCAGATGCCGTGCGAGGAGGGTTGTTTGTTTTTTTTTTTTTGGAGAGGCCGAGGGTTTCCAGCCGGCGCAGAGGAATTTTGCGCCGCTGCAGAGTCACATTCGAGCCAGCGGTCCCCGCGAGGCCCCAGGAAGCGCCTCGGAAAACAAAGCGCTGCGCTTTCAGCCCAAGGTTAAAGTCCACGGCCAGCTTTTTTTTTTTTTTTTTTTTCCCCGCCTCGGAATCTAAGAGCGATAGCGTTTCTCAAATAAACCGCAATAAATCAGCTTCTGGGCCGCCCGCTGAAGAGCTCCGGTGACCTTAGGGAATGTTTCCTGCCAGATCCATCGGAGGACAGTGGAGGAGGGGACCCCATGTTAGACCCCACCCCCACCCCTCCAGCGGGGGGAAAAGGGTGGCCAGGGGCAGTGGTGGGGGTTTTATTGTGGTTATGCGTACCCAAAGGGAATGGGGGAGCTCGGAGTGGGGGAGTCTGGGGATGACA